TGCTTGTGACTATGCAGGTATTCTTGGTAGTCTTGCTGCCGCTGGAGCCAGGACTGGGTTGCAGGTTACGGAGGGAGTAATTTATGCCACAATAACTCTGGGTAGGGCATGTTTTCAAAGCCTGAACTTCCGGCATTGGCTTTCTATTTACTGTCATTGTAGCAAAGAAGGTCGCCTCCCGGAACTATCCATTTCATTATCACTTGTGACTATGCAGGTATTCTTGGTAGTCTTGCTGCCGCTGGAGCCAGGACTGGGTTGCAGGTTACGGAGGGAGTAATTTATGCCACAATAACTCTGGGTAGGGCATGTTTTCAAAGCCTGAACTTCCGGCATTGGCTTTCTATTTACTGTCATTGTAGCAAAGAAGGTCGCCTCCCGGAACTATCCATTTCATTATCACTGGCATGCCTCCCTTCCGAGCATGGATTGATAACCCACACCCTTGGCCATGTTGTCATGCTGGCTGGATAAGTTTCCATTCAGGAGGGTGGGGATAGGATGGGAGAGGGATTCAGGTGTTTGCAATCAAGACAGTTTCCCACCGTATAGAAAGTGTTTTTATAAGAGTACCTCTGAATGGCACTGCTTCTTCCTGAGGAAGATGTGACGATCAGCAAGTGGGCTGCTCATTAGCTGGTGTATATAGGCATAGTTCTCTGGAAGTGGAGCCATGCCGATTTACATCAGCTGAGGATCTGTTCCAAAGTCTTCTAGCAGGTAAGCTACAATGATATTATAGTTGACATCTTTTGAAAGCTGACCTTCCTGATTGTGTAATGGCAGATAGATTGTGGGCTATTAACACGACACCTGGGGGCATTCAGTGACTTTTGAAGAGGATATTCTCCTTTGAGAATTTAGCTTAATTAGAGTTTCTAATGGAATCACCTTTGTACTCTTGGAGCTAGTGTATAATACTTACTTGGAAGAGATTTTGGAAGCCATATTGTAGCATTGCTGAGGTTTCTGAAGGAGTTACTTTTCCTTTAAAAATGAATGTGCCTACCTTACTGAATAACACTTCAGAGAATCACACAGTCAAGTCTTTTAAACTATTGTTTCTGTTTTTCCTCTCAAAAATGTCTACAATGTTAAGGTAGCCCTAGCACTTGAGTGGACGCTTTACTAAGTCCCGATGAGGGTAGCATAATGAGATTGCTTTCTTAACTCTGTTCAGTAGGAATGAACATGCATGAATCCAAGATCTGGTGTACACATCTAAGGGTACACTTCTCATGGATCTTTGTGCCCCCCCCCCAATAATAATAGGTGGCTGGCGGATTACATGTGTATCATGAACGACCTGTGTCCGGTTGCAAATCTTGTGGAAGTTGCTGGGAGGCTTTCTATTGTAAGGGTGGGTACCCTAAGGCCCAGGGGCTGGATGCAACCCCTGGCTTGCCTGGATCTGGCCCCTGAGGCTTGGGATTTGCCCCCCCCCCCCACCATCAGGGAGCTGGTGTTGGCACTCCAGCCCTGTACACCCTCGTTTCGTGAGTGCACAAATCTGTTCCAGCATCTTACCACTCTCCCAGACCCACCAGTCCCCGACCCCCTCCTGCACCTTCTCTCCTACCCGGCAGCCACCTTCCACACACTGAACCCTTCATTTTTGGCCCTGCCCCAGAGCCTGGGGGGCCCCCAATATCTACTAGCCCAGGCCCCTGTAGGCTCTGGTGTGTGAGGAGATTGGGGGGGCAGTGTCTTTCTGCTTCTTAGTTGGGGGCCACATCAATGTGGTATTTTTTTTATTTGTTTGCTTCTCCCCTGTGTGTGGCCTCCGACTGATTTTTCTGTGGATCAGTGGCCCAAAAAAGGTTCCCCACCCCTGCTCTACTGATTTCAGTGGACACAAATTTTCATAGTGTTCTTGACTGAACATTAAAATCCCTGTTATTTCAGGCTGTAAATTATTGCTAATTCTTACCTCTACCATTCGATGTCACTTCGTTGGTGCCAACACTCAGATGTACGTCTTGCCTTACGTTACATGTTGTGTCGATATCGTCTTTGGTCCAGAAAGAGGCTCACGTGCAATTCATTGCTGCTCGTTGCATGGCCTTTTCTAGAGTTTGTTGTGATGCTCAGAAGGCAGGGCTGACTTGGCAGGGACTGGGTGTCTCTTGCAATTGCGTTGCCACTTTGGAACTTTTGGGGCTTTCAGCGGATATAAAATATATCCCTGGAAAAATACACCCCACCTCTGCTAGCGCATCTGAGGAAAGCTCTTACGTGGCTTTAGGAAATCTGCAAGAGAGGAAAGTCCCGGGGCAGAGGCTCTGAGCTGCTTGTGACCATGGCATGTGTGACGGCGCGTTGGGGGTCCCCCGTCTCCTGCACCCCGAAATGGCACAAACAGACTCCACCAGCCATTAGAATTGAGGGTGGTTTATTGCTCCTCCAGGATACAGCATAGCACAGATGTAATCTGGTTACAGGAACTGGGGCTAAGAGGCCTCAGTGCCCCCTTGAGATGGGGGGATCCCAGCCCCCCTCCCCAGTTCCTTCTTCCCTGCTTTCCAGCCAGGAACTAACTCACTCTCCTCCAGCCCCGCCCCCCAGCCAGGGCAGCATTCCACCTTCCTTTGTTCCTTTCCATGGGAGTCAGCTGGCCAAACCAGTTGGGATCCCCTCTTTGCATAGTGACTCATCACTTGTCTGCTTGGTGGTGCTACAGACAGCAGCCAGAGAGTTAGCAGGTTACCCCCCACTATGTCACAGCATGCGATGAGGGCACACTCGTGTTGTGAGCGTGTACGGGGCAAACAGGCATCGCCACCCGGACATACACATTGTGATCAGCTTTGCCCTTCGTTACAGAAGACGGAGAAGCAGTCAGCAGCTCGTATGAATCCTACGATGAAGAGGAGAGCGGCAAAGGGAAGTCCACAACCTACCAGTGGCCATCCCCGGAAGCCAACATTGAGCTGATGAAGGACGCCCGCATCTGTGCTTTCCTCTGGAGGAAGAAGTGGCTGGGCCAGTGGGCCAAACAGCTGTGTGTCATTAAGGACACTAGGTTGCTGGTATGCAAGTACTGAACAGTTGTTTTGTCCATAATAACCTAGCTCCTCAGACCGTGCAGGAAGTGGCTTCTTCAGGGGTGAATGTAGATGCTGGGGTCTGGCATCCTTAGCAAGGGGGTGGCTCTGGGCCCCTGGAAAGGGAGGGGGAAGGGCTGAGGCATAAGGGACGGGACTGAGGCAGATCCATCCCCGCACACCCGCCCTTCATGGCCAGTGGGAAGCTGCAGCGGAGGAAGCTGGGGGCTCTGGAGGGGATGTGAAGGGCCGGAGCTCCTGGCTGCTGCTGTTGGTGACTGGGAGCCCCGTGCCCGTCTAAATTGCTGGGCCCCTGGGCAGCTGCCCCTTTTGCTCCCCCTATCAGCAGACCTGCCAGTAGGGTCCAGCAGTGTTAGGGGCTGCTGACAGGGAGGGAAAAAAGCAGGGTGGCTGCTCCAGGGCCTGGCAATTTAAAAGAGCTTGAGGTACCCAGCCACCTCTACTGCCTCAGCTCCTGGTAGTCATGGCCATGAGGGGCTGGCTGGGGGAGTCTGCCCCCCTAACCCACCTCTTCCACCTAAGGCACTGTCCCTTACAGGGACCGAGGAGGGTGGGTACTTTGCCAAGGACCCTGGCATATTGGTAAGTCCTGACAATTGCTTTCATCCCTGCACCTAACTCCCTGGAGTTTTTTTAGAAATACCACTAGGTGCCCGTGTGTAGGCCCCTACAGCCTTTTAAAAATCTGACCCCCTCCCCTGCCCGGTGGCTAAGTCTTTTTTGAAAATGGGATTTAGGCACCTAAGGCAAGTCAGCATTGTAGGAAATTTTACACATGGCCCAGTGGTTTGTAAGCAAGTCTGGAGCGTTTGCTCTAATCTAAACTCCTGTGACAGCAACCCTCCCTGGCTACTGTTTTAGCCATAACAGGTTGTTTAGACCCTCTAAAGCCTTGAGATATACCCTTAAACCTTCGTGATCTGGGTGTCCCTGATCCGGGAACACCCGTGGTTTGGATTCTGGCAGGGGGAGGAGAAAGTGACTCCATGCACTGGTGGCTCCCTCCTGCTCCCCAGGTGGGGGAACAGCAATGCAGCAAAGCAAAGCACTGGTCTCCCCCCGCCGCTTCCATAACAGCAGGGGACTCCATCCTTCCCATGCCCAGACCCCTCGTGCACCCACCCTACCTCCCAGACCCTCCACTCCCACCCCCAGCACCCTTCACTGTGGCGAACACCCATGGTCTGGAAGATTCCATAATTCGATACAACCTATTTCCCAAGGCTGCTGAATTAAAGAGGTTCAAGTGTAGCTTGTATGAAAGGTGGGTGGGTGGGTGGAATTGGGCTTCTTTGTGTTCCCTGCAGCCGTTGCAGATGTGCCTAGCGTCTGCTTGTGCCGAGGTTCGCAAGTGGGTTGAGTTCACTCCTGCTTTCCGTGTCTCCTTCCGCTCGCAGTGCTACAAGAGCTCCAAGGACCACGCCCCGCAGCTGGATGTGAGCTTGCTTGGCTGCAGCGTCATACACAAGGAGAAGCAAGTGAGGAAGAAGGAGCACAAGCTGAAGATCGTTCCGATGAACGCAGATGTGATCGTGCTGGGCTTGCAGAGCAAGGACCAGGCAGAGCAGTGGCTCAGGGTGAGCGGAAGGGTGGTATTGTGTTCCCCGATTGCACTCCGGTGGGCGGTGTCAGATTAGCTGGACAATAATCAATGGTAACAGGTGAAAGGGGGGGGCTGTTTACTCCCACTGTGCTTGCACTCCTGTACCCAGGGCTGGATTAACATTTTGGCAAGAGAGGCATGTAGCTAGGGCCCAGTTTGGTGGATGGGGGGGTGGGGGGGGCAAGATCGTAGGCCAGCATCTTTGTCATCTCCTTTTTGCCCTGCTGAAGGGGCGCTGACCAATCACAGCGGTGCTCTCTGCCCAGGCACTATAACCCTAATAGTGACTAGGAGAGGAGGCCCCAGGCTGGCATGTGGAGAGCACGTCCACCCCACAACAGCAGCTCTTCAGCCATGGGGCTGGACCCACCTTCCTTCCCCAGGCCTCACCACCTGGCCCATGGGATTCAAGTTTGCCCCAGCCAGCCTTCCATCATGATGGGGGAGGGGGAGATGCTGACCCAATCTGAGCGGGTGGCATTGCAGTGCTCCCTCCCCCCTTCCCCCGGGACCCGTCTCTCACATCAGGTTGAGACGCGTATGCATGCGGCAGCGAGGGGTTAATCTGGCCCTGCCCTGACTGAGGAACGGGGTGACTAGGTTATTCCTTGAAGATGAAACTTCCGTCTCTTTCCTTAACCCTTCTGAAATGATTTTTGTGGGCAGGGAACTTCTCCATCCCCGCCCCTGGCTTCTCAGGGCCGGGCTCTTCACACCTCCAGGCTCTTCTGGCCCAGTCCTTCCACTGGAAGTCTGTGCATGCTGGGATGTCGGTCATATGGGACCTGCTGTGTCAGCTCAGCAGTGAAAGTCCCTGCTCCCTGGGCTGACTTTCCAAGGGAAGGGAGGGTGCATTGTCAGGGAAAGAAGCACCCTGAAGGACTGTTTAGTTGTCGATGGGGAGGGGGAAGTGGTAGAGCAGGAGGAGGAGAGGGGCAGAGAGGAAGTGCCGAGGAGCAAGAGCAGAGAGCACCTACCTTTTACATACTCACAGGGATTCCATGCTCTGCATTGGAACGTAGCTGTGCGACTCCCAGCAAGATTACTGTGGCTCTGCTTGGAGAGCATCCCCCATCCCGCTGTTCTTCCCACGTACATTGGTGCCATTCACAGCTGCAAGCACACAGGCACATGCTCCGCTTCGGTTTCCTGCCCAGAGCCAGCGTGCTCCTAGCAGGCCCCTGCCCCCTTCTGTGCATTGGAGAATGGAGAGGACCTCCCCAGCCCGGCCTTTCCAGCCTGAATAAAAAAGGCCTTTCAGCTCGAGAACCCTGAGCTCCCAGCTTCAGTCTAATTGATGTTTAATGGGAAATGCCGCCGAGACAGAACAAGGCTTTAATGTCTCTCTCTGTAACAATGTGTGGGAACGTTGCGCGGAGACAGTCCCCGAGACAGAACAGCCAAGGCTTATACAGGAAATGGGGCTGTTTTATGGAAACTGCAGCAGAACAATGAACCTTTACAAAGATCAGCGATTAGCTCAGAGCAGGCAGAAGAGCTCTGTTCACTTGCAGTCTTCCGCACGCCCACTGGACTGAGACAGAGGTCCAGGGTTTGCCCTGACTTAAACCCAGGGCAGCCCCTCTGGAAGTCACTCTGCTGGCAGCATGTGAAGTCAAGACAGGATTTGGCCCTTCCAGGTTTTGTACATGTGGACTTCCTGGGCTTAGGTCCTCGGTGTCACCCCCATTGAAATAAAAGATTAAAAGTTACATGATTTAGGTAACATGATTTGGATCAAAGGTCCATCTAGCCCTGTCTTCCACCAGCAGCCAATGCCAGGTGCCCCAGAGGGAATGAACAGAACAGATAATCATCAAGAACAGATAATCATAACCACCCCTGTGGCCCATTTCCAGCCCCTGACAGACAGAGGCTAGGAACACCATTCTTACCCATCCAGCCTAATAAGCATTGATGGACCTATCCTCCATTAATATATCTTGTTCTTTTTTGAACCTTGTTAAAATCCTGGTCTTGACAACATCCTCTAGCAAGGAGTTCCACAGGTTGACTGTGTGTTGTGTGTAGAAATACTTCCTTTTGTTTGTTTTTAAACCTGCTACCTATTGCTTTCATTTGGTGACCCCTAGTTCTTACATTATGGGAACAAGTAAAGAACTTTTCCTTTTTCACTTTTTCCACACCAGTCCTGATTTTACAGACCTCTATCATATCCTCCCTTAGTGCCCTCTTTTCTAAGCTGAAAAGTCCCAGTCTTTTTAATCTCTCTTCATTTACACCAACTGAGGACCTGGCTTTAGTGATTTTAGTTTCCAGGGTTTTCTGCAAGTTGTGTTATCTTATTTTGCTCCTCAGAATTTTGTTTTCAGTTTACAGCCGGGCCTCAGTGCAACCCCAGAGCAAGCCCCCCCCCCGGGGAGCAGCCGGGCAGCCACCACCAGCTTCCCTGGCCACAGCTACAGCTCTGGGCAAGCTGATGGTGGCTATCCAGCTGCTCCTAGGGTGGGTGGCTTGCTTTGGGGCTGCACTGCGGCTTGGGTCCAGCTCCAGCGCACAGCCAGGACGAGACCCGTAGTGGCTGCCACCAGCCACCACGGGCCCCAGAACAAGGGGGACTGCTCCATATCCCCAGAAGAGGGCAATCAGTCCTTAGCACTGCCAGGGCCACAGTGCTGCTTCCCCCCAGCCATGTGCCGGATCTGGAGCCAGGCTGCGGTGCAGCCCCAGAGTAAGCCACGGCCGTGCAGCCTGCCCTGGCCACAGCACTAGCACTGGGGAAACCTCAAAAGAGAAAGGCCATCAAATGGCTTGTTCCCCGTATGTTCATGTCTGCCTTCATCTGATGAAACTGAGCTGTGCAGGGCTTTGACATCCAAACCTGATTCTGGTTTTGCTTGTGACGGGTGGCAGGTTTGGTTCACCGTCCATTCCGGTTTCACTTGTGAGAGAGCCTCCATTCATGAGCCCTTGGACAAAGCTGGCCTGAGGCCCAGGTTTTTAACCAATTGGTGGACTTTTGCATGATGTTGAGTTTTGCTGCGTATGTTCTGCATGCCTCGGAAGCTGACGAGCATTGGTAATTTAACCACTCTTAGCTTGCTGCGTTGTTCCCTGCAGGTAATCCAAGAGACCAGTGGCCTGCAGTCTGAGGGAGTGGGTGAAGGAAATCAATGTGTTCCAGACTCCCAGCGTTTTAGTTACCTCAAGGTACAACTTGTCTCTTTAGTGAGGTGATGTTCAATGTGTAAAATGCTTTAAATCCTTCTTTTACAGCCTATCCTTCACCAAAAACACCAGAACTTGAACAGGGCTAAATAAAACTAGATACATTCATGGACTGGGTCCATGCTTATTATCCAGGATGGGTAGGATTGGTGTCCCTATGCTCTGTTTGTCAGAGGCTGGGAATGGGTGGCAGGAGAGGGAGGAAGGAAAAAAAATGTTGTTCTTGTTCTGATATGACATGACAAGAAGCAATGGGCTTAAACTGCAGCAAAGGAGGTTCAGGTTGGACATTAGGAAAAACTTCAGGGTGGTTAAACACTGGAATAAATTGCCTAGGGGAATCTCCATTACGGGAGATATTTAAGAGCAAGATAGACAGACACCTGTCAGGGATGGTCTAGATGGTGCTTGGTCCTGCCAAGAGCTGGAGAACTGAAGAGTCTCCAGTATTAGACCATTACAGTAGCACAGTAAACCCAGTTAGGTGTCCGTATACCATGGTGAGGGACACAGCATCTGCGGATGGAAAAGAAGAAGTGGCAGTAGAACCCATCTTACTTTTTAGGAAAATATTTTATTTAAAAAAAAAACTTAAGGCGGCTTGGCCCACAATTGAAAGGAGAAAGGGCTCTAATTAAATGCCTGACAGGATGGACGGGCCTCCAAAGCACACAATATAAGCTAGATCCTCTGCTGAAATAAGTCACCTAGCTCCAGTGATTTCAGTGGAGCTCCCAGCCGAAGTAGGTGGCCTATACATTTAGAGACCTGGGTTTGCAAATGTGTCTTGATTGCTACAGAGGCCACCTGACTTGTTCATGCTTCCTTCCACGCTTTGTTCCTGTAATTATTTCAATACTTTCCCCAAATTGCTCTGCCCCAGCACAGAGACCCAGTCCATAGATACTTTTTTTGCCAGCCAAGACATTCTCAGCCGATGCTTGGTGGTGGTACTGTATTGCCTGGGCCCTCTGGTATTCATATCCGGTCCTCGTTGACAGGCGGAGTTGTCTGAGAAGCATTCGGTGGCATCAGAGAGCGGGAGCAGCACAGACGGCCACCCAGAATCCATTGAAATAAAAGACGGTAAAAGAAACCAGTCTGATGTCTCAGGGCACCTCTTTGTTCTGTCGTCTTACCCCCACAGGCTCCACTAAGCGCGCGTTCACAGGGCCACGTATCTGAGTTCCCACCACTCCTGTCCGGGCCCTGTGCAACAGTCCTGTTCATGGTACCCTCTGTTTTCAGCCCTTTTCTCTGGACCTTCCCTTCCCCCTCTCCCTCCACTCTTCCTTCCTGTGTCTCTATCGTTCTGGGCTGATTGGCTCTTTGGCTCACCCAGCCCACCTGTCTGATTATCTCATTCCCTCGCTCTGCTTTCTAGGTGGGGCAGAGGGAACTAATCTGCCTCCAAGTGATGGGAGAGCAGCTTGCCTGTTCACTCCCGGCACTGCCACGCTGAGGAGAAGCTTGCTTGGCTGGGTTTCTGTTTGTTACAGATCACCAGGCCTCCCAGGGAACCCCCAACTGAGCTGAAAGCAGGAAAAGGCTGTAGCCCTGTTTCCTTTCATTTGTATCGGGGACAGGTGGATAAGCCTGGTGCAGGGGTTAGGGCTAGCAGTGGACAGCCCCTAACACGGGCTGGGATGGGTCGTGGTGATCACCACTGTCCCAGAGTCTATGGCTTTTGCCGTTGAGTTCCACTCCGCCGTGAAATCTGCAGCAGCGAGGTTCACAGGAACGGTTCATTATTTTGCTTTGATCAACCTGCTGCTACCCCCTTACTAACCCAGACTCCCCCCAGCCCCTGGCCCCCTTCCCCATCTCTCTCCCTACCCATTCACTGGGACCTGTGCCTGGCTCAGTGTTTCTCTGGTGGCTAGTAGTGAGAGGCAGTGCCCAGGGCTCTGGCCTGTTGCTTGGCAGAGATCGGCTGCATCCCCTCCCATCCAGTGACGGGCTGCAGAGAGAGGAAGGAAAGGGGGTTGGGAAGACTGGGCGAGAAGTGGGTTGGAGACTGGGTGAGCTGGAGGTCAGGGGCTAAATTCTCCCTCTTATGTGCAGCTGCCTATTATTTAAAATTTTCAATTTAACAATTGGAAACTTTCATGATTCTTGAAGTTTTATTAAAGAAAGACATTATTATAAATAGTAAAATTATTTAAAAACTATTTAACAAGTATTTCAGAGAAAATTCTCAAAAATTCTCACATTGGAGAATATTCTCAAGAACATTCTTGAGAATATTCTCCGAAAGCTTATTCCCAAGAATTTAACATCACTAGGCGGGGGTAGTCCTTTCTCTCTGGAGCCTGCACCCAAACTCTCATTCCCAGGCCCCTCCCCCAGCCAAAGCCGTCATCCCCCTCCCCCAACACCACAAACCTCTGCCTCAGCCCTGAGTCCCCTCACACTCCAAACCTTCATCCCTGGCCTCACTCCAGAGCCTGCATCCCCAACCAGAGCCTTCACCCCCTTCACTCCAACTCTCTGCCCTAGCCCTGAGCACCCTCATAGACACCCCCTCCAGAGCACACACTCCTCCCCAACACCACCACAGCCCTATGCCCATGAGCTCCTTCCCACACACCTGAGCCCCTCTGCCCCCACCCCCGCAATTCACCGTTCATGTGGGGAATGAATTTTGTGTTGTGCACCAATATGAAAGTGGTATATCATACATCATCTCCAATATTGGTGCACATCACAAAAGTCATTCTGCAAATGAACATAAAAAAATAGAGGGGAGCACTAGTGGAGGGGGAGGGAGGTCAGAGACTGGGTGAGCCAGGGTTGGAAGGGAGTAGGAGGGAGAGGGAGTGTAAGGGGGGAAGAGGGCAGAGAAAAGAGCTGTCACCACAGAGGACCTGGAGTCTGAAGGGAACACCAGCCCTGCCTTTCTAGGAGCACTGCACTGGGGAGAGGGGCCTGACGTGCAGGGTGGAGGGCTGGAGTCTGGAGTTATCACCCCATAGTTCAAGGACTGATTAAATATTCATTCACTTTGATCTAGTCCCATTACAGAGGAGAGATACATTGAGGCAAGCAAGCTAACTAGTAATGCATGGCAGCTGGGTCCACAAGGTTGCCATGGCCCGAGCCTGAAATTGGCTGTTTGCCATGACGTGGTATGGATTATGCATACTTTTACTGGGAAAAAATCGTATCCCTACCTGCAGAGTCCTGGTCTATGAATGAAGCACCTAGTGCTGCAGTTACACCTGTAATAAGGGTGTTCTTCTGAGGCTTAAGGCCTGAGACCAGCTCTGCCAGACTTCCCATAGTGTTTAGATGCCTAAAGAGGCAGTTAGGTGCTTAGGAGTTTTTGAAAGTCCGGTAACTCCCCTTGCAGTCAATGGGATTCAGGCACCTAGGTGCTTTTGAAAACCTCACTTTGATGCCTATCATTTAAATAGCTTTTGAAATCTGGCCCTCCATCTCTCCAAGGTTTTATAGCCATGACCTGCCTTCCAGGGGGCTGTGAGGATAAATATATTAAAAAAGAAAAATATATAGCTCAAGTACTTTGGTAATGGGGTGAGGGGCACACAAATACTGAACGTGGCCCTTACAGCACATCCTGCATGTTCTGTGTACAAATTATAGTATATTCTGTGATACCTGTTGGTGTGCACAGACTATGTTGTTTATGGGGAGGACCTACAGTAACAGAGGCATTTGTTTACTATTGACTCATTTTCAGCATTCGCTGCTAGGTACTCCTAGACTTTAAAAAATATACCTGCCAGCTAGTTTGGAAAGAGGTTCTGCAGGTAGCATGGTTGTCCTATAGCTGCAATGGCTTGACTTACATACTGTGCATTTCACTCTGTCTTGGTCAGTTAAGAAGAAGGGTACAACTGGCCTAAAACTGAGCAACCTGATGAATCTTGGGAGAAAAAAATCCAGCTCATTGGAGAGCCCAGAGAGAGCACTGGAAACTTCCAGTAAGTGTCCGGAACAATGTTACATGCAACATTACCCAGAATTTTGTATTTTGAGCCTAGCGCCCCAAAGATAATTGCGCTGACCAAAGCAGGTAGCAGCATGAAGGTTGGGCAAGAGAGGGCTTGCCAGCCAGCCATGAACTCTGGTAACCTCAGAGATATTAGCAGAAGGCCTCTGGGCTTCCTTCCCCAGAAAGCAACGTAAGACATAAGGCTCCGTAGCACTCAATAGGGAGAGATTTGTGTGGGATTGAAAGCTTTGGGTGGACAGGGCTCCATAGTTATGGATACGCTTTGACTAAGGATGGACGTGTCCTGAAAGCTTTCATCAGCATGGCTATATCTCTCTCTACACCCTTGATTAACTTAGTTAAGCTGACCTAACAGTGTCAGCTTGATGGAATAATTCTTCTGCTCTCTACAGCAACAGGAAAACCTGAATTCCAAAGATAAAAGTATAGCTAGTTGTCCACCCAGGATGCATGTGACACACACACACACACACACACACACACACACACACACACACACACACACACACACACACACACACACACACACATATATATCTATTGACATACTGGCCCAATGGAGGTTTGAAGTGTGCATGTGATTCCCACGCCCAAACAGGGTGGAAGATGTAACTAAAGCCACCCTGTGCTTGCTTGCAGGTTACCTGAACATTCTAGTGAACAGCCAGTGGCGATCCCGTTGGTGTCACATCAAAAACGGTCACCTCCATTTCTACCAGGACAAGAACAGAAGTAAATCCGCACAGCAGCCTCTCAGTCTGGTGGGCTGTGAAATTATTCCAGACCCAACTCCTGACCATCTCTATTCATTCCGTATTCTGCACAACGGGGAAGAACTAGCCAAATTAGAGGTATGGCAGTATATGTTTCTCAGAAGAAGTTGTTGGGTGAGATCAACCAAGGTTGACATCAAAATTCCTACTGCTCTGCTGGGTAGATTCAGCTCCAGCAGAAGCAACTCTTGGTAGCCACAGGACAGATAGAATGTTAAGTTTCCAGGACTTCTGCTAGCTGAGGCCTCATCTATTCTTACCCAGACACTGATGCTCCAGAGTTTGATCTCCCAGAGTTTGATTTAGCGGGTTTAGTAAGGACCCACTAAATCGACCACTGATGGTGCCCCTGTCGATCCCGGTACTCTACAGGGTCACGAGGAGTAAGGGAAGTAACCGGGAGAGTTTCTCCCATCAACCTCCCACAGTTGGGACTCCGTGGAAATTCAGCTTAAGGTACATCAACTCCAGCTATGCTATTCTTGTAGCTGGAGTTGCATATCTTAAGTCAACTTTCTCCCTAAGTGTAGACCTGGTCTGAAACAGAGACCTTGTTTGTATTACAATGAACATTAATCTTAAAAGGCCAGGATCTCAGCTGGTATACATTGGTGCAACTCCATTGACTTGCTGTTCCTTTTATACCCATTAGGTTTTGGTCCAGAAAGCACAAGTAAACCTGCTCCTATCTGCTACTTTCACTTGTCTGCATCCTGGTCTGTTTCCCTCTAATCTTAGTTCCCTCTGACATCAGCACAACTAGAGTAGGAGGAGGACAATGTGAGCAATTTCCTGTATTTTGCAGTGGGTGGAATATTTATAGCTAAACAGCAGGCTTGAAATGACTGCCCCGGGGTCTGAAGGTGTTTTGTTGAACTGTCCAATCACTGGATGTCTGAGGTGCCCTGTAAATCACAGACCATGTGTCTGGTGGCAGAGATAAAAGCTAAAGAAAAAACAGTTTGTACATGGGGGAAACTGAACTTCAGGTTCAAAGCCAAGGTCCAAGCTGACTGGCTGATTTCCAGGCAGGACTAGAAGGCTGCACTAATTTTACTGGGATGGGAGGAAGGGGAAGAATCGAAACTCAAAATAGAGATTCCACATTTTGCCTGATTTAACAAAGATCCTCTTAATTTTAGATCTGTACAAGACCTGGTGACTTGTTAACAGGGTTCTGTGCAAACTTGATCCAATTTTGAATCACATGCCTCCTCCTGAGTTTTGTTTTATTTTGAAATGTTGGGGTTCAAGCAGCAGCACTCACCTGTATCTAGCTAGTTTGGTAGCATTCCAGGTGAACGCCATCTGAAACCAGCTGTTCCACAGGATTCTCCCCTAGAGATGGTCTCAAGCCACAAAATTTATACCTGATCTGAGAACACTCCAAACGCTGAACTGTGACTTGGGCTGTTGGTGAACAGTGAGGGTTTTGTTGTGTCTCATTACAAAGTTATGGGCCTTTTCCCCAAGCCTGATCTGCATTAGGGTTCAGATTTCAAACCTCCCAGACACCTCAGAAAATGGCCAGATTTTTATTCGGGCCCATTCAAATCAGCCTGAGTTCTCTTCTTGAGACGCCCAGCAGATTTCATTCTTCAGGTTTTATGCACGTCTCCTAATGCTAGCAATCCCGAGAGTCTTGTCACTGTTCTCCACTAGTCAAAGGATGAAAACTCAGTCTTTCCTCTGTAAAATTGGATTGCCTGAAAGACTCCGGGGCCATAGGAAGCTGAGAGCTTCTCCACTCTAACAAGGAAAAGTCTTGGCAGGGAGGTAAATGAGGAATTTCTTTTAGAAATCCTCTTGTTACAATTTAAATATAATGATACAGTCTACACGTGGCCTCTCCATCCCTTGTTGATTTGATTCATTTCAACACACTGCAGTTTATTGATCCTAACAAACAGACCCCAATAAATCTGCTCTTTACGCTTCCCTACTAAAGCCTATTAAGCCTCTCGGAAGCTGCTGTGACAGCCATAAAACTGTTTCTTCGGCTGTGTTGTAGGCCAAGTCTTCTGAGGAAATGGGCCATTGGCTGGGCCTTCTTTTATCAGAGTCAGGCTCGAAAACAGACCCAGAAGACTTTACCTACGATTATGTTGATGCGGACAGGATTTCCTGCATCGTGAGCGCGGCAAAGAATTCATTCTTGTAAGTCACAGTGGCAGCACTTTTGGCTTTGAAAAGTTCCTTGATCTTCTAGGCAGCTGTAGCTTATTATGGGAGGGCGAGGGGGTCCAGCCCTCATCTGGAAGTTGGCTGTGTGGTGCATGATGCACTTGATCTCAAAGGAAGAGCAGCAGATCGTGTTCTGCTGGAGACTCGTAGCTGGGCACTAGGGAAGGCAGTGTGGCTCGTTCTCCATGATCGCTCACAACTGGGACTGAGGCAAGGGGACTGTGGGTTGCACTGAGCCCTCTGGCAGCAGATCAGTGGGAAAGGCAGACTCTGGAGGGCCCAGTATGTAGGGGTGGGGCTGGTGGCTTCATTGTGACATGCAGATTCCCAGCCGTGGGTGGGAACAAGGTGGGGGGGGGGCACCTGCAGCTTGTGACAGCCTGTCGCCTTGGGTATTTACAGCTTGATGCAGAGGAAGTACTGTGAGCCCAACACCTACATTGATAACCTGCCCAAGATAAGGGTGCAGCAGGAGGACCTCTATGACGATGTGGACCTGCCAGAGGTGAGCACGATGCAGCTTTGGCTCTGCTGATTCCCTACCAATGGGAGCGGCAGGGAAGAGTACCTGCCAGGAGCATTTCCCTGTAGCAGGCAGAGTCATCTCTGCCACCCTATCTTTGCCAGATAGGTGTCCTACCCAGACCTTGCACTCACACCCTGCTCCTGCACCCATACCCCACTCCTGTACCCCCTGACCCTACCCTGCAGCCTGTTCCTGAACCTTCCTCCTGTTCAGATCCCTCCCCCATCTCCACCCACTCCTGCACCCTCCTACCCAGCCACTGAACCCCCTACCTCCCTCCCCAACCCGTTCCCTGGGTGCCTCCTCCCACACACACTGAGCTCCTAATTTTGGTCCCACCCCAGAGCCTAGGGAGGGCCACACAAAATATACTAGCCCCAGACCCCCTGAAGAGTTAATCCAGGCCTGGGGGAAGCCCTGAGCCTTGGTCCTCCCCCACCCCTGGTGCCCTGAGTTGCACGACTGAGGTGAGTGTCCTTTTTTTTTCCTGCTTATCAATTGGGGGCCATGTTATCCATGAAGTGGGGTTGGTTGGTTTGTTTTTGCTTCTCACTTGCATGTGGCCTCTGACTGATTTTTTGTTGGTCAGAGGACTCCCCAATGCCCAAAAAAAAGTTCCCCACCCCTGCCCAGGAAAGTAGACTTAGATAACTAATGGCATTGAACCCTGTGGCCTCTAGAGGGCAGCCTTGCACCTATGAGCTGCTCTGGACAGTCTCGCACATGGAGATTTGGCTAGTAGGGCAGCAAAATGCTTCAGGGCTAAACGATAAAAGCTGCTCGAATTGCAGACACACCTCTCTTTATAAAGGTAGAGGTTTCTAACCGAACAGCCACAGCTCGCTTCAGCTATACAAGGGGAGATTATTTTTAAGCAACCACTGAAAGTTAAACTCTATTTTCTCCATGGGAAAACCACCTTGGAATTTGCCAAATCTTTCCGGAACATTCCCATTTCTTCCCTGCAAGGTATGCCTATCTTCTTGCTTATTCCAAGCCAATAACTTGGATTTGCCTGGCCTATGGGATTGTTAGGAGAATTCGGAAGCTTTCCCCACTGGCGGGCGTCTCTGAATTCAGCTCCCCCCCCCAAAAAAAGGAACAAAACTCGCACCCACCCTGGAATTTCTTCACACCCCCCAGTTTGGGAACCCATGGTCTAGAAAATTGACAAACACGCCATTGCAATTGGCTGGAATGGCCACAGACCACGAAGACTGGCTCTGGAACGAACAGTGGTCCTGTACTTAGGATGGGCAGTGTGAAGAACTTTGTCACTCTTTTCCATGCTAGACCAGACCCGAGAATAACAATGAGGTTTTCATTCACTATGGGTCTCAGGCCAACACTTTTTGCTATGACTAAAAAAGGTGGTGGGGGGGGAGGAGAGTGGTAAAAGCATTTAAATCAGAGGTGGGCAATAGTGTCCTGGAGGCCAGACACGGTTCACCTGGGTTAACCCCTGGCGGGCCACCAGCCACTTTATTTAGCTGTATGTCTACAGGTATAGGCCCTCGCGGCTCCCGGTGCCTTCAGGTTACCATTTCTGGCCCACGGGAGCTGCAGGAAACAGCGCCAGCCAGGACGTCACTGGCAAACTGGCCAATGGGAGCTGCGAACAGCTGTACCTGTGGACGTGCAGGTAAATCAAGTGTCTGGCAGCCTATCGGGCTAACCCAGGTGAGCTGTGTCTGGCCCACACGCCGCTTATAGCCCACTCTGACCTAAATCCTATGAGCAGTCCAAGTCCACTGACTTTCAACGAGCCTTTGGGTTTATGCTTCTCAAGCACATTGTGGCTTATGGAACCATCACTCCGAATCATCCAAGTCAACATCGTTGCTTCCCAGATTGAGACACTGCCTGCCAGCGGGGTGTCATTGGGATTCTTTGCACATTATATTTTCTCCACTGCAGGAAGAAATACCCCAAAGCGAAAGCAATTGTGAAGAGGACCAAGACAAAGTGTACCTAGACCTCACACCAGTTAAATCCTTCCTGCACTCCACCGGGAGGAAGCCGGCAGAGCCGTCCTCTCCAGGCTCTCCTTCTGTGGAAACAGCTAGCGGCAATGGAACAGAAACACCCCTCTTGGCTAAGGAAACTGAGTCCTGTAGGAAGTCAGTGGAAATCCCAGACCAGGTGCTGTAAAGACTCCAGGCACCGCCAATTGGTTAGTCCCTGTTGCCAATGCATTCCTAACGTTTTTCTCTCAACAGACCCCGCAAGAGAAGATGGAGCCAGAAGAGCCGCCAATACAGACATCCACTGTCAAAATCCAGATGCAGCAGCAGAAAATCGCTTTCCCCCAGGGCAGTCCTGAGATCAAAGCCACCACTGCAGACATGGCCGGTCTGCCGTTAGCACCGATGCCCAAAGAGAAAACAGAATGGCCCAAGCTGGCGAGTGCAGGTGAGTCCCCCAGACAACGTAACTATGCTGCCAAAGGAAATGGTAGATGGGTGCACAAAGTCCACCGAGTATCCAGCTGTTAGGATTGAAAGTTCTGTGCGCAGTTAGCCCGACTGGCTGATTTTTATGGTGATTGGCTAGTGGTGAGCGAGGGCCTGATCTCGCAAGAGCACTGAGTGGGGTCCAAACCTTTGGACGGCTATTTTGGCCTGGATCATTGGTTTTCCTCCCTCCATCTTTGGCAAAATGGCGCAGCTGCTTGGTGACTTCACCTGTGGCTAGAAGGTCCAAGGCGTGGTAGGGCAAAAGAACGAATCAAATGTGCATGCTGATGAGTTCAGGGGACACAGTGCGAAGCTGGGCCAAGTTGGCAATGTGGGTCTGCACTGGCCACTCGCAATGCCAGCTCTGGCTTGTCTCGACAATGTACAGCAGCAGGCTTGGCGAGAGGAAACATTTTTGTGAGAAATATTGGTCTCTAAAATGAGCACGTAGACTTAAAGCAGGGGAGAGGGAGGATAAAAGGGTGAAATGAATCTGCCTGTGGGACAACACACAGCTTCTAAGCAGCCTTCGGGAAAGGCAGGAAACCAGGAGTCTCTCCCCCAGATTAATTTCCTGGAGACAATGGGAACAAAGGAGATTGACTGTGGCGCATACAGTGGGGGTTGCTTCTGAGGCCGGATGGCGAGAGGGGGATATTGGGTGGAGTGTGGGGGGGGGAGCTGTCTTGTGTGATGACAGACCACAGCAGCTGGCAGCTAAAACCCTTTTATACAAGATACTGAATGCTAAAACGGGGCTTGAAAAGCAGGTCCTGGGACACAAAAAGCAGGTTCTTGAGATATAGAAGCCAGTAAGGTACGTCGGACCCTGAGAGCCAAAGGGAAGAATGCCATGTCTTGAAATGTGTACAGCCTTTTTTGTTTCACTGTAATTAAATTGATGGGAACATACCTTGATTAGCTTTTGCAACACTTGGACCTAGCGCTGTTCTGCAAATTGGTCCTTTGGGTTTACAGTGCCATTCTCCCTCTCTCTTTAAGCTTTTAAGATGACCAAACAAGTGTTAGACTGTTGCTTGGGTAAATGCCCCAGAGGGAACCTCCCCCCTCCAAGCTCCAAGGAGAGAGTGTGAAAAGGAAAGGGGTTTGAAGCCTCTTCTCACTTGGTTTCTTGGACAGACATGGGTTTAAAGGATCTTTGTTGCAAGAAGCTGTGCCATGGAGGGGTTGCAGTGCAAAGGCTTGGAGGCGTCTTTTGTGAATTTGTAGCATTTTCTGAGTGTCCTAAAAGGGTGTTGGCCGCTCCTGAGAGAAGCAAAGACACATTCCCTAATGGGACACAAGTGCAAGCCATAAACGGACAAAGGAAGTGTGGAGGGGCAGAGGAAGAGGGACTGTAATCAGTGCACATTGTTATTCAGTAAGGCAAGAGATTGAGTGGTGATCTAACTTTCTCCCCCTGGTCTCACCGGGAGAGGGAAGAAGTGAGAAGAGAGATGGAGGTAGATGGGTTGGGGACAAGGCACAAGGCACAGCATGGAGACAGAGGAAGGGGACATGGTGTCACTGGTGAGGAGAGAAGATCAGGTCCGAGATGTAGGCAGAGATTGCAAGCCAGAAGGCAAGGAGAAGACATTTGTAGTGGACGTGCAGATCAATGGAAAGCCAGCAATTCGGAGACAGGGCGGGTGGGGGAGTTGAAGTGGTTGGGGTGAGAGGATTTTTGGTAGCAGCGTTTTAGATGGTGCAACAGGGAACCTGAGTTCTGGAGCACCAGGGGAAGGAGACCGGGTGTGGATGAATGCTCTGGCCACTGGGACAGGTAGGAGGGGAGAATGGGGCTGGAATGGTGGGTGACAGGATGTGGAGGGAGACGGAGAGAGAAGTTAAACACTGATGATGTGCTCATGATACAGCGTCACTTAGCCTATTCCTAGCGGGGTCTAAAATCTAAGGAATGTAGCCCTGGAATGAAGCATGAACCGTGTCCAGAGGTGCTAGAAATCTCCACCAGGAGGAGTAAGTACATTCTGGGACTTTCAGCAAACACGTGGCAAGCCCTGCAGTGGTCCCTCTCTAAACGCAGCTGCTTTACGTATACAAATTAGCCACCTCATTCCATGTTGTTGTAAACCTGGCTATGGTTTGCTCCCTGCCCCCACCCCACCCCAAATCCTCAAATGTAAAAACAAGGCCTTTAGGTCCCCTCCTCCAAGTTTGCATACCCAGAATGCCTGTGTTGTGCTGCTCCTCAGTTAAGATGAGCCAGCTGTAGCAGTCAGGGAGATGAGATTCTAGGCCCTGACTTATTAAAAAGTGTATCACCTTTAAAAGCTCATATACAACCATGCCCTGAAACTATATTTCTGACTAGAAAAGCTAGAAATCACTCTCCAGGGGTGACCGGATTATGAATATAAAAATGGCCACACTGGGTCAGACCAAAGATCCATCTATCCCAATATCCTGTCTTCCAACAGTGGCCAATGCCAGTTGCCTCCGAGAGAATAAACAGAACAGGTAATCATCAAGTGATCCCTCTCCTTTCACTATTCCCAGCCTCTAAAAAACAAAGGCTAGGGACACCATTTCTACCCATCCTGGCTAATAAGCATTGATGGACCTGTCCTCCATTCATTCTTTTTTGAACCCTGTTAAAGTCCTGGCCTTCATAACATCCTCTGGCAAGGAGTTCCACAGGTTGACTGTGCATCAGGTGAAGAAATACTTCCTTTTGTTTGTTTTAAACCTGCTAACTATTAATTTCATTTGGTGACCCCTAGTTCTTATGTTATGGGAACCAGTAAATAACTTTTCCTTCGCAGTTATGATTTTATAGACCTCTATCATATCTCCCCTTAGACTTCTCTTTTCTAAGCTGAAAAGTCCCACTCTTTTTAATCTCTCTTCATATGACACCTGTTCCAAACCCCTAATCATTTTTGTTGTTCTTTTCTGAACTTTTTCCAGTGCTAAGAGTAGGGATATGTCATGGTGGGCAGCATTGCCTTGTGATCTAGGTGCAGGACTGTGAACCAGAGACGCCTGTATGCTAATCCTGGCTCTGCTACCAGATCCTTTTTGTCTGAGAGCTGAGCACATAATGGATGTCTGTGCGCGCCAGCCAGCCCAAACACATTTTGGGTCAAACCAAAACTTTTTGATTCAAAATGAATGTTTCAAAGTTTCTTATTTTTAGGAAAATCTGAAATGTTTAAAAAGGCTTGAACTAGAAATTAAATGTTTCAATTCTGTGGGGAAAACATTGTTTTGGGTCAAGTGAAACGTTCTGACAGAACTGAAACATTTAATTTCTAGTTCAAGCCTTTTTAAACATTTCAGATTTTTCTAAAAATAAGAAACTTTGAAACATTCATTTTGAATAAAAAAAACTGTATGTTTCGTTTCCAAAATGTTAAAACTAAATATTTGATTTTTTCCTTTTAAATCACAATAATTTGGCACAACTGAAGTGAATTTTTCAGAGCATGTTTCAGAGTTGCCAAAATTGTACTTTTCTCTGGAAAACAGACCAGTTGGGTGAAATTTTTCAGCCCAAACTAAGCTCCCCCCAACCCCCATCATTAAAATTGAGACAATATCTCACCAGGGTGGATGAGAATTTATTTTAAGTTATAGCACTGACGCTGCCTAGTCATATCTCAGACCTAAGTGACCGTATTTCTTTCTGGAGCCCTTTGCTTTGCTGGATTCCTGAAGAATCTGAAAATGTTTTGCCTTTAGCCTCATCCATGGCTAAGCCTGGCTTTGTTGCTGTGTTTGCAGTGCATGTGGAAACCAAACTGGGCAAGAATAGGATGGAGGCTGAGGTGAAGCGGTACTCGGAGGAGAAGGAGCGGCTGGAGAAGGAAAAGGAGGAAATCCGCTCTCAGCTGGCCCAGCTTCGGAAGGAGAGACGGGAGCTGAAAGAGACGTTAGCTGGCTGCACAGGTAGGAGCTCATGGAAACTTCTACTCAAAGGGGCGACTGCTGAAACAGACCAAGGCTAAGGTGGGCAACTTTATCTGTGAAAACCAGACACTGGGCACCAGAACCTCCCCTGCTTGCCATTCCCTCAAGGCCCCGCCCCTTGCTCCATCTCTTCCTGCCCTCTCCTCCCTCTCCCCCACCCCCTGTTGCTTGCTGCTCTCTCCACCACCCTCCCCACTGCCAACTCAGCATGTCTGTAGGGGTGGGTGGGGAAGAAGACAGCGGTAAGACTTGGAGAGAGAACTGGATGCTAGGGTCATTGTGGGGAGTGACTGGGGCTGGGTGGGGGGAAGAACTGCTGCATGCTGGAGTTGGGGTGACTGGGGCAGATGGGGAGAGCTGCTGGTGCCTCTCGCCGCCTGAGCTGTTCCCGAGTGCTCTACTGCTCCCCCAGGTTCCTGCAGCAGCTGCTGCTCTTCCTAGCACCCTGAGGTCAAAACCAGTTGCTGTGGGTAAATGGACATTTAGTGTCCAGTCAGCACTACCAGGGTCCGTTTTCAACTGGGTACCTGGCAGCCCTAACCAAGGCAGTGGCAGAGACCCCGGGAGG